CTCCTATACCCACCCATGCTGAGGTGTGCACTTGCTTACTAAAACTATGCTCTTCTGGAGACAGTACCTTTATGTTATCTTAACACTTCTGTAAACTCTCATTGAGGAAAACAATCAGTTAACCATCTAAGGTCTCTAAATTTTGGATATGTTAAATGTGTTTGCTTCTAATTTATAGTTCTGCAAGTTTTTAAGTCATTGCTTGGAAACCGTGCCTTTCTAGAAGTGACATTATTTAGTATAATTTTAAGACAATGAAAGGCTTCCCAGGTGACTCAGTGGCAAAGAATCAATCTGCCAAAAGAAATTAACCTAAATGAATTTCAGGTTCTTGTGAACTGGCAAATATTCAGCATTGAATACCTAGTATTAATGTTTGCTTGTTGATCTAACTGATATAGACATGTCTAAGAGTCGTTAATATTAAGCATTATGCATAGGTTTAATATAACACATCTGTCACAAATTTTTCAGCAAGGAAAGTAACTTGAGTGAAGAAACTTCTAAGGAAAGAAAACATAAATAAGAGAGGAGATTTTAGATAAACTCTGTTAAGAATAATTTTGCTTTGGGAATGTCTGTTATGCTTTAGGAATGCCTGTCTCTCCACATTTGGGTAACTTGAATTTCTAAGGTTGTATTAAACCAAGTGTTGAAAGTTTATTGAATAGATAGGTCATTTCCAAATAAAATAAGATTCACAATGACCTTCGACCCTATCTGACTGAGTGTTCTAAACCCCTTTGATATTTATTGACAAATCTTCTTAAGTCAAATTCTAATGAAGCACTTTTGACTTTTAGCTAACTTTGGGGTGCTTCAGAGGGCCCCTGATTAGGTTCATTTGGTATGTGTAATTACATGGGAAGTATTCTCAAATGAGTGATAAATCTCAGGTTATACTGTATGGCAAATGTTACTAATATAGATATCCTAGAAATTATATAGAATTCCTAAAATTTGGATATGTCCTGGTATTCTAATGAGAAACCGATGGCTTCACAAAGATTAACAAAAGGACTGAATGAACTGGTGAGTATGCTTATAACTTTCATGGTTTCTATCTGAAAAATTTAGGGGTCTGAATCAGTTTCCAGGTGGAAGGAAAACTTCTATCTTATATCCATATAATATCCAATACTATACTAGACAGAAGTGGTTAGATTTGACAAAATTCAACATCATTTCAGGATAAGAACTCAATAATTAGACAAGATAGGAATGCACTTTAACATGAGTGACAAGCCCACAGTAACCATCATACACAGTCGTTGAAGAGCTGAAACCTTTTTCTGCAAGATTGGTAACAGATCACTAACTTTGAGGCCAGTTGTATGATTCAAGCAAATTATTTAATGCCTATTTTCTTAGCGGTAAAATTAGAATAGTAATATTTAAGTCTTAGGGCTATTAAGGTTAAATAAATTGTTGCAACATGCTTGTAACATTGCCAGACACACTTAAGTCTTACTAAAGGGTTACCTCCTCATTGTGTGTGTGTGTGTGTGTGTGTGTACACATGTGTGTATAGAGGTGTGTGTGTACATGTGTGTATAGAGGTGTGTGTGTACATATGTGTGTGTATAGGGTTGTGTGTGTGTATACCTATGTGTGTATAGGGGTGTGTGTGTGTGTGTGTATATATCTGTGTATATAGGGGTGTGTGTATGTATACATGTGTGTGTATATACATGTGTGTATATAGGGGTGTGTGTATACATATGTGTGTATAGGGGTGTGTGTGTATATGTATGTATATATGTGTGTGTATATATATGTATGTATGTGTGTATACATATATGTGTGTATAGTGGTGTGCATGTGTGTATACATATGTGTGTATAGGGGTGTGTGTGTATATGTATGTATGTGTGTATATACATATATGTCTGTATGGGGTGTGTGTGTATACATATGTGTGTATAGGGGTATGTGTGTATAGGTGTGCGTGTGTGTATGTGTGTGTATACGTGTGTGGATATAGGGGTGTGTGTGTGTATATACAGGTGTGTGTATATAGAGGTGTGTGTGTGTATGTATACATATGTGTGTATATAGGGGTGTGTGTGTGTATACATATGTGTGTATAGGGGTGTGTGTGTGTGTATATGTATGTATATGTGTGTGTGTATATGTATGTATGTATGTATACATATATGTGTGTATAGCAGTGTGCGTGTGTGTATACATATATGTGTGTATAGGGGTGTGTGTGTGTGTGTTCATATGTGTGTGTATAGGTGTGTGTGTGTATGTGTGTTTATAAGTGTGTGTATACATATGTGTGTATATAGGGGTGTGTGTGTATACATGTGTGTATACATATGTGTGTATAGGCATGTGTGTGTATACATGTGTGTGTATATAGGGGTGTATATGTGTGTATATAAGGGTGTGTGTGTGTGTATACAGGTGTGTGTATATAGGGGTGGGTGTGTGTGTATACATATGTGTGTATATAGGGGTGTGTGTGTGTACATATGTGTGTATAGGGGTGTGTGTGTGTGTATGTATGCATATATATGTGTGTGTATATATATGTATGTATGTGTGTATACATATATGTGTGTATAGGGGTGTGCATGTGTGTATACATATGTGTGTGTATAGGGGTGTGTGTGTGTATTCATATGTGTGTATAGGTGTGTGTGTATGTGTGTGTATAAATGTGTGTATACATATGTGTGTGTATATAGGGGTGTATATGTGTGTATATAGGGGTGTGTGTGTGTGTATACAGGTGTGTGTATATAGGGGTGTGTGTGTGTGTATACTTATGTGTGTATACATATGTGTTTATATAGGGGGGTGTGTGTGTACATATGTGTGTATAGGGTTGTGTGTGTGTATACATATGTGTGTATAGGGGTGTGTGTGTGTGTACATATGTGTGTATAGGGTTGTGTGTGTATACATATGTGTGTATAGGGGTGTGTGTGTGTACATATGTGTGTATAGGGTTGTGTGTGTATACATATGTGTGTATAGGGGTGTGTGTGTGTGTACATATGTGTGTATAGGGTTGTGTATGTGTATGAACATGTGTGTATAGGGGTGTGTGTGTGTATACATATGTGTGTATATAGGGGTGTGTGTGTATTCATATGTGTGTGTATAGGTGTGTGTGTATGTGTGTGTATAAATGTGTGTATACATATGTGTGTGTATATAGGGGTGTATATGTGTGTATATAGGGGTGTGTGTGTGTATACAGGTGTGTGTATATAGGGGTGTGTGTGTGTGTATACTTATGTGTGTATACATATGTGTTTATATAGGGGGGTGTGTGTGTACATATGTGTGTATAGGGTTGTGTGTGTGTATACATATGTGTGTATAGGGGGGTGTGTGTGTGTGTACATATGTGTGTATAGGGTTGTGTGTGTGTATAGGGGTGTGTGTGTGTGTACATATGTGTGTATAGGGTTGTGTATGTGTATGAACATGTGTGTATAGGGGTGTGTGTGTGTATACATATGTGTGTATATAGGGGTGTGTGTGTACATATGTGTGTATAGGTGTGTACATATGTGTGTATAGGGTTGTGTGTGTATACATATGTGTGTATAGGGGTGTGTGTGTGTATACATATGTGTGTGTATAGAGGTGTATGTGTGTGTATAGGGTTGTGTGTGTATACATATGTGTGTATAGGGGTGTGTGTGTGTATACATATGTGTGTGTATAGAGGTGTGTGTGTGTGTATGTGTGTGTATAGGTGTGTGTGTGTGTAGATATATGTGTGTGTATAGGGTGTGTGTGTGTGTGTGTGTGTAGATATATGTGTGTATCGGGGTGTGTGTGTGTGAGTGTGTGTGTGTGTGATTAGGGGTGTGTATAGGCGTGTGTGTGTGTGTGGCTCCCCAGGTGGCTCAGTGGTAAAGAATCCACCTGCCAATGCAGAAGATGCAGACAAAATACACATACACACATATGCCAAAGGTAGATTCCCATCATGTAAACAACTACACACAACACTTTGTTGGCAATAAGATAGCAACACTTTAAAAGAAATCTGAATGAAAAACACCTTGGCAAAATCTATTTTCAAAAGGATATCGCATCCAAAATGTACATTCAATAAGCAGTAGACACACAGGAAACCATACTCAATACTGTAATGATCTGTGTGGGAAAAGAATCTAAAAGACAGGATGTATGTATATAGATAACTGATTCTCTTTGTGGTACAGGGAAAGTAACACACCATTGCAAATCAACTCAGATTAAAAAAAAAAACATAAATTTTTAAAGTGCAAGTGAATAACCAATGGCTCATTTCAATCCTTGTAACTGATATAAGAACTCTCCCTGAAATCAGAGTGATCTTTTTTATTATATTGGTAGACTCTCTCTTTTAGGAAAAAGAAGACAGCATTATAAGTGGTGACAAATATTCATCTATTTTAGTAAATTGCTCTAAAGTGATAGGATGATTCCATGTTGCCCACTTCAATTGCTTCAAGTGTGAAAGAGTCATATCAGAAAAAAAGGAAACTAAGACCTTCAAGTTCAGTTAAGGAGGCGGTTACTTAAATTCTAGACTACAAGTCTGATTTCCTTCTTTAATAAGAAAATACTTTTAGGGCTCAACTTTATTAATAAAAATGAAGCCCCCACAAGCTACAGTATCTTCCAGGGAATTAATATGATAAATTTTAGTCTCTGGCACATTCACATGTATATTTCTATTTTTTTATTTTAAGAAATAGATTTAGAAAATATTTATTGGAAGTTTATATCAATTAAATCCTATTATTATCACTGAAGACCTATTGCTGAATCTACTCTATAAAACTAAAAATTTTAAATGGGTAATAGAATTATCTAATAGTTAACATTAAGTTAATAACACATCCCAGAATTGTCTAAAAAATATAACTTCACTGAATCAGGACTTTCACTGAATTAGGGGTTTTAGTGATCAGATATCTAAGGAAAGGTTTATACCAGTTTCGTTGTCTGTAACACCATTGTTTTTCCAATGCAATTCATGGTACCAATTTCAAGTTAAGGATGGGATCAGTCTGACTAGAATTTAATAATCCTAACTCTTCTGGTGTTGTCTTAAAGTCAGCAATGAAGGGGCTGGGATCCAATTTTATTTCATTTTCTGTAGAAACTGGCATCAGCCACACTGACTTCCTACAGAGAAGACAAACAGAAAGCGGATAGGGCTGGCATGCTTGGTACCAGTTCTTCCTGAATCTGAACCAGGGGCCAAGGTATTGTTCACCACTGTTTAATGTCATGATCGTTTTCAGTGTGGTGATTTATGGGTGCAGCGTAGGGTCTGTATCCTCTAGGAAACAGATGATTTGTAATGCTTGCCTTAGTCGAGTATCCAAGTCCCCAGTAAAACAGACTTAGATAAATGGATCCTAAGAACAATAAAATTTGTCAAAAGCTTAATCTGACCCAGTGTATTGGTGGTGAAGGTGGTGTGTGTGTGTACAGCTGTAAAATTCATGCACCAAAAACCTAATCATATACCTTTGTTAGCCTGGTCTTCATTTTTTAAAGAATGATAGGCTCAAACAGTATAATAATTGTGATCAAAATAGAAATGCTTTTGTCATCACTATTAATCTGGTAGCGTATGGAGAAGCAACAGCCTCATGGGATTAGGTTAAACATTTTTACATTATTCTAAGCATTGGCCAACATAGAGGAATAAAAGTGTGTGTGTGTATACAAAATCAAATCTTATTTTCTATTTAGGGGTCAGCTACTTCCCATAATATCACTAAATCCATTAGCCTTGGTTTTTCCATGTGAAGATAAGTTAAAGGGAAGATCTACAGTGTTCAACAATGTGATTGTATTTAATGCCACTATACCCTAAAATTTCATCTTACATACATTTTACCACAATAAAAAATACCGATTCTCCATCACTTCTAAAAAAGGGACCCTGATGATGTTAAAATACATTGCACATTTTCTCTAAGCTCAATTCTTTTTGCATGTCAGCTATTTTTGTTTAGCCACTAAGTCATGCTCAACTCTTTGTGACCCCATGGACTATAGCCCACAAGATTCCTCTGTCCATGAGATTTCCCAGGAAATAATACTGGAGTGGGTTGCCATTTCCTTCTCTAAGGGATCTTCCCAACCCAGGGATTCAACCTGCATCTCCTGCTTGGCCAGCAGATTCTTTACCACTGAGCCATCTGAGAAGCCTATGTCAGCTATTTCCATATATTAAACAACAATAGGATGGGGAAAACTAGAAATCGCTTCAAGAAGATTGGAGATACCAAGAGAACATTTCATGCAAAATGGGTACAATAAAGGACAGAAAGAGCAAGGACCTAACAAAAGCATTAGAGAATAAGAAGAGGTGGCAAGAATACATAGAAGAACTATATAAAACAGGTCTTCATGACCTGCATAACCATGATGGTGTGGTCACTCATCTAGAGTCATGAGTGTGAGGTCAAGTGGGACTTAGGAAGCATTACTACAAACAAAGCCAGTAGAGGTAATAATGGAATTCCAGTTGAGCTATTTAAAATCATAAAAGATGATGCTGATAAAGTGATGCACTCAGTATGTCAGCAAATTAGGAAAACTCATCAGTGGCCACAGGACTGGAAAAGGTCAATTTTCAATTCAATCCCAAAGAAAGGCAATGCCAAAGATGTTCAGACAACTGTATGATTGCATTCATTTCTCATGCTAGCAAAGTAACGCTCAAAATCTTTCAAGCTAGGCATCAACAGTATGTGAACTGAGAACTTCCAGATGTACAAGCTGGATTTAGAAAAGGCAGAGGAACCAGAAATCAAATCAATAACATCTGTTGGATCATAGAGAAAGCAAGGGAATTCTAAAAAAATAAATCTACTTCTGCTTCAGTGACTACAGTAAAGCCTTTGACTGTGTGGATCACAGCAAACTGGACATTTCTTAGAGATGGGAATCTCAGACCACCTTACCTGTCTCCTGAGAAGCCTGTATGCCAGTCAAGAAGCAACAGTTAGAACCAGACGTGGAACAATGGACTGGTTCAAAATTGGGAAAGGAGTACATCAAGGTTGTATATTGTCACCCTGCTTTTTTCTTAACTTATATGCAGAGTACATCATGTGAAATGCCAGGCTGAATGAATCACAAGCTGCAATCAAGATTGCTGGGAGGAATATCAACAACCTCAGATATGCAGATGACGCCACTCTAATGGTAGAAAGTGAAGAGAAACTAAAGAGCCTCTAGATGAGGGTAGAAGTGGAGAGTGAAAAAGCTGGCTTAAAACTCAACATTCAAAAAACTTACTTCATGGCAAATAGAAGGGGAAAAAGTGAAAATAGTAACAGATTTTTTTCTTAGGCTCCAAAAATCACTGCAGATAGTAACTGCAGTTATGAAATTAAAAGACACTTGCTCCTTGGAAGAAAAGTTATGAGAAACCTAGACAGCATTTTAAAAAGCAGAGACATCACTTTGGTGACAAAGATCCATGTAGTCAAAGCTATGGTTTTTCCAGTAGTCATGTATGAATGTGAGAGTTGGACCGTAAAGGAAGGCTGAGTGCTGAAGAATTGATGCTTTTCAACTGTGGTGCTGGAGAAGACTCTGTAGAGTCCCTTGGACTGCAAGGAGATGAAACCAGTCAATCCTGAAGGAAATCAACCCTGACTATTCACTGGAAGGACGATGCTGAAGGTGAAGCTCTGATACTTTGGCCACCTGATACAAAGAGCCAACTCATTGGAAAAGACCCTGATGTTGGGAAAGATTGAAGGCAGGAGGAAATGAGGGTGACAGAGGATGAGATGGTTGGATGGCATCACTGACTCAGTGGACATGGGTTCGGGTGAACTCCAGGAGATAGTGAAGGACAGGGAAGCCTGGCGTGCTGCCATCCATGGGGTCACAAAGTGTCGGACACGGCTGAGCGACTGGACAACAACAAAACAAGGAGAGTTTTCCTTGTGGTTTTCAGGTGGTTTCTAAGATTTGTCACTCAGATGTATGGGACTCGATGTAACTATTTCAGAGACACGGTGAAAGTGTGTCAGGATATACTATATCCTTTTGGGATTCAATCTCGCAGTTCCACAAAATTGCAAAATACATTCAAATACAGTCTGACAAGCCTTTCCTTTCATATATGTTCACGGGTTAGTATTAAAATGAAAAATTGGTTTTCTCTAAACTTTTTAGTCATTTACTCTCCTACCATGGAATTGGACCATAAAATATATCGGAAAAAAATATTATGAAGGAGAACACATTGAAAGATAATATCGTGCTTGATTCTTCCATTTACTAAGGTGACTAACGATTTGCTCTGCAGTTCAGTTACTGTAGAATAATCTAGGTACACAAGATTGTTTCAAGTTTTTATTCTAAAATTAATATTACACTAAAAATTTTTAAACATAGTCAAAATATTTTAAGAGCTAATTTGGTGTTTGGCCTTATGCTTGTAGGTGAGTCATGTCATAGTCTCTACAACCTATGCCTCTGCAGAAGCATCTGGTAAGTAAGGGAGAAACTAACATCCGAGGATCTGATCCACTGGACTCGGCGAGAGGCAGAACATTCCAGAGGGGTTTTCTGAGGGCTGTATCGCGTATGCCTAGGGTTAAAGTGTCGCTCTGTCTGAAGAAGCAGCGCCTCCTCTGAAACAATCTAGAGGAGCACAGAGGTCACGCAGACATTTCTAGTACGACAGGAGGCAAGTGCACGTGAATAGGACGCAGAGACACTCAAGATCGCAGCGGTGGCTCCTGACTGCCAGGCCCAGACAAAATCTGGCAACCCATGGGGACCAGAGAGAAGGGCTGCCTGTGAGAGTAGACCTAGAGCACCTGGAAAAAGTCTGAATAGTGCACAGGAGCAAACAAACTGCTACTCAGAAATCTTCATCATCCGTTAATGAAAAGGTTTTCACTAGCTCCTCCGAAAAAGATGACGTGGAAATCAAATAACAGAGTGGCTTCAAACACAAGCTTGACTCTTCTATGTTTGGCATTATCAGCTAACCACCGACAGGCTCTGCATCCCTGGGCAAATTGTTAAAACACCTCCCAAAGCTCTAGGTCCCTCATGTGTAAAATAAAGACGACATCTATTTCATAGGTGACCGTTGTAATCAGGCGTTGACCCCAAATACTTCTGTAGCATAAACTGTAAGCTGTTTACATCTGGGAATCAATGAAAAGGTAATACCCCAGGATAACAACACAGTTTTAAGATTTGTGCCTTGCAAAATAATTTAGAGATTTTATTCCACATTTTATCCTAGTCCCCATATACACACACATCCTCACAGAGCATGGCTATCTATTGCTGAATATGAAAGATCTTCCCAGAGCTAGTGACCTCCCACATTAGGAACAGTGAATGGAGTTTAAACCGTCTCTTAAGCTTTAGTGAAATACAAAAATAGCCCCAAAAGACTCAAAATCAGTTCACTGACCTGTCTGGAAATCTGTGCTATAAGATCTTGTGGCTAGAGAGGATCAATATTCAGTAACGAAGGAGCTACATAGGCCTCTACCTTACTATAAAAGGAAGCAAAATTTGGTCTTAAAGAAGAAAAAAAAAACAGGACAATAATTTTAGCACCAGGCAGAAAATTCTGAAAAAAATATCTAGAAGTTATTTTTTTTAACAGATAAGCATTATTCTTACCTTTATCCTGATCCCACATTCATAGGCAGGGTATATAAAATCATACACATATGTTTGTATCCGAGTCATGGGGCAACCTGATCCCAGATACAATTCATCAGCAAATATATACCAATTTCTGTAGGCACACGGGCTAACAGAGACCATCACCCAGTCCATGGAACAGCTTACTTTCACTGCAGAAAGAATCATATGAGAAAATATCAGCTGCGTATTTCTCTTAAGGGAGAACCCAAAGAATATTCAACCATACTTTGTGATTAATTAAACAATGTTTCTTTCTCTGGTAAAGGTAATAACAACTTCGAGAACAGCATGTAAAGGGTTTTCATATCACTACAACTCTCCCAAATATCTGCATAATTCTGTCTTCAAATATGTAAATTTCATTTATTTCACAGGGAAATAAGAATCAGTGCATAAGAACATCATTATCTTTCAGCTCTCTGTCTCCTCTTAAAGGAATTAGATTCCAAAGAGAATGATAAAATCAGGGTTACACATAAGGGGACAGAAGTATTGTCATAAATTGCAATGCATTAGAAGAGGAGTGATGCATTCCAAGTAATAAGTTTAAAGAGGGAAAAGGATAAGGTAGGATTCATATTTATAGCAACCAGAACTAGATACAGTCATGTTCACAAAAGGAAATCATCTGAATAGGGAAAATCCATGTCTGGAAGTTTCATGAAAGTTTTAATGTAAAACCCTTTCTTCTTCATTGCACTGAAAACTTCAGTAAATCAATAATAATCACTATTCCTAATTGACTCATTTTTCCTGTGGAAATGAAACAAAAAGTGTACTGCATTCTGACTGTGCTAGACTGTCGTCAATGAGAGGTTTTCAGGGGATAACCAGAGTTGAGTTTCATAATTCCTTCTACTGTTCAGATGGAAAGCAAAGACTTACTAGCTTTAGTGTTTAAAGATGTATGATAAGTAGCTGGGAGGGCATAATAGACAAGATTGCAAAGCTTCCTTAAGAACAAAATAGAGTGGACAGAAGTAAGCAAATTTCAAGTAACCTAGAAAAGACAAATGACAACCCACTCCAATACTCTTGCCTGGAAAATCCCATGGACAGAGGAGCCTGGTAGGCTACAGTCCCTGGGATCGCGAAGAGTCGGACATGACTGAAGCGACTTTGCAGCAGCAGCAGCAGCAGAAAAGACAAAACAAACCAAAAAAGATAAAAGCAATATGTTGCAAGTATATTAGCAATCATAACGTAAATGAACAAGTGTCCAAAGCTAAATGAAATGTAATGTAAAAAACATGAATGAACAAAATACTCCAGGCCAAATGAATAACAGCAGAATGAAGAAATAAATTATATTGTATTTATGCAATCAACTTCTATACAACATGGAAAATTATAGTTATACCTGTAAATATATAAATGAAAAAACAATTGTGAAAAAGAAGCAAATCACAATACAAACCTTATATATCTATTGACACCAATAAGAGAAACATTTTTTAAACATTTTTTCCAAGGAAATAGACTGTTCTTAGACAGCCAGCATCTGTCCTATATTTATTAAGGCATTAGAATCACAACCCAAAACATGACTCTCAAACTCATCTGATACAACCTCCTATTTTACAAAAGCTAGAGTAACAGGGCCTACATATTATCTTCTTATTTTGACATGAATAGGAAATAGCAACCCACTTCAGTACTCTCGCCTGAGAAATCCAGTGGACAGAGGAGCCTGGCGGGCTACAGTCCAAGGGATGGTAAAGAGTTGGCCACAACTGAGTGATGAAACAACAAATAAGCAACTGTGATAACCTATCATCCAAGCTAGAGCAAGTCAGTGCTTGAGCATCGGGTTCATTTCTGAATTGTGTTCACAGTGAAGCAGAATACATGTGTATACTTTTATTGTAGCCCTTGCTGACAGCACTATCTGCATGCAGGACTGCTACATGAGCAGAAACTGAAGCCCTCCACTTTCTTAAAGAAGAAATTCTGATACTGTGTATAAAACAGATAACTAATGAGAGCACACTGTACAGACCTGGGACCGCTACTCAACGCACTGCGGTGGCCTGAGAGGGAAGAAGTCCAAACGGAGGGGATGCTCGTGTGTGTACGGCTGGTGCATTCTGCTGTGCGGTCAGAACTAACAGAACATCGTAAAGCAGCTATGCTAATAAGTGGAGAAAGGGATGGCAGCCCACTCCAGTGTTCTTGCCTGGAGAAGCCCACGGACAGAGGGCCCTGGCGGCTACAGTCCGTGTGGTCGCAGAGCGTCGGACACAACTTCCTAGTCGGAGCAACTAGAACTTCCATTTTTCATACTCCAGTAAGAAATTAAAAACGAAGAAGAAACTGGAAGGGCAGGAGCGTGCAGGTGTGACTGGTAAGCCCGCGTACAGAAAGACAGAGTTCTTGCTGCTGGCTGGACAGGCCTTGAGTGCTGCAGACACTCAATTGTCAGCGTGAAAGGAACTGGTAAACTGCGGCTCAGCATATCTGGGTCAGTGAACGCCACCAGAAGTGAAGATCCACAGTCAGCTAGAATGATAGGTTCTGACAACTAGGCTGACTGTACTGGAAGCTTCAGACCAAAATGTGGACTGGGCTGAAATGGTTAAACAAAAGTGTGCTCACGGGCAGGATTCTACCTTGGAAAAGCAACTGGGAAGTTAAGCTACAGTGGCTTGGAGTGACATTTAAGACAAATTTCCTAGACTCTCACAGGTCTCCTTAGTTACTGTGCCAATTCTCTTCTGCGAACCTAACAGAACCCAGAAAATAAGCAAAGGTAGTGTTCTCTTATTCCACAAATAAGTAACTCAGTCACTGCTGAAGTCTGACCAATACCTCCAGCCCTTCATAAGCATGTCTTTAAAGGAGGAGGAAGAAAATCAGATAGCAAAGCAGCAATGATAGGAGTGATAGCTAGTAGTATCTCCTAAGAAAATGAAAAGTGAGTCGCTCAGTCATGCCTGATTCTTTGCGACCTCATGGACTGTAGCCTACAAGGCTCCTCTGTCCATGGGATTTTCCAGGCAAGAAAACTGGAGTGGGAAGCCATCCCTTCTCCGTGGGATCCTCCCAACCCAGGAATCAAACCCATGTCTACCCACACTGCAGGCAAAGTCTTCACCACTGAGGCACCAGGGAAGCCAAAGAATGTAAGGTGATGAGTAAGTTGATAAGGGGTTCAAAGTCTAAAGCCATACTTAAAGGCTGCATTTGGAAAACATGTGGTGAATGAGTATGCAGTGGATGAGTATATGATCAGAAAAATTATTAGGAAGCAAATTTTCTTCCTAATGCAATTTAGATAGCTTGTCACTGATGCTAACCTTGATAATGCATTATAATTAGAATTTGTATATCATCTAAAAATTACTTACTTATGCTGTAAGTCACAGATCATAATCATGATTGACCTCAACTCAGTACTCTTGACAGATATACTTATTAAACTCTCCTTATGTGGTAACTATAAAAATGCTAAGAATCAGATAATTTTTCCACAACAAGAACTCATTAAATTATCTCCCTGTAAATGTTGTTGGAAGAACTAGTCAAACAAGTGTCTTAAAAATAACAATCTGATATACACACACACACACACACACACACACACAAAACACATTAATTCAAAAAGATACATGCACCTCAACCTTGATAGCAGCATTATTTGCAATTGCCAAGGTATGAAAGCAACCTCAGCATCACGAACTGGGCTTCCCTTGTGGCTCAGCAGTAAAGATCCGCACGTAATGTAGGAGACGAAGGAGGTGCTGGTTTGATCCCTGGGTTGGGAAGATCCCCTTGAGGAGGAAATGGCAACACACTCCACTATTCTTGCCTGAAGAACCCCATGGACAGAGGAGACCCACAGACTATAGTCCACGGGGTCTCAAAGAGCTGGACACAAACAGATGAATGGATAAAGATGTCATGTATATCCAAAGGAATCCTACTCAGCCATAAAATAGAGTTAACTGTTCCCATTTCTAGCAACATGGATGGACCTGGAGGGCATTATGCTAAGTAAAGTCAGTCATACATAGAAAGACAAATACCATATGTCACTTCTATGTGGAACCTAAAAAATACAACAAACGAGTGAATATAACAAAAAAGGGGCAGCCTCCCAGATACAGAGAATTAGTGGTTATGTGGGGGAGGCGGAAGGGCCACACAGGGGTGAGGGAGTGAGAGGTACAACTATCGGGTGTAAGACAGGCTACACGGATGTACTGCACAACATGGGGAATGGAACCACTCATTTGTAATGGCTCTGAGTGTAATATAACCTTTTAAATTGTGTAAAAAAGATAAACTTTAAAAAATGACCATCTGCCACCAATATTTTAATTTCTCATACTTCTCACAAGAAAGTTTAACCTGACTCTGAGTAAGATAGTCTTGTGTCAAAGGGGTCAACCGTATTTATTATCTCCTTGGGCTTCCCTGCTGGCTCAGAGGTTAAAGCATCTGCCTGCAATGCGGGAGACCCAGGTTCAATCCCTGAGTCGGGAAGATCCCCTGGAGAAGGAAACGGCAACCCACTCCAGTGTTCTTGCCTTGGAGAATCCCATGGAGGGAGGAGCCTGGTAGGCTACAGTCCATGGGGTCACAAAGAGTCGGACATGACTGAGCGACTCACTTTCACTTTCTATATGACAGTGCTTATTTACATATCTGTGAGGGAATTAACAAGCTGGCGCCAGGCAGGCCCTCCCGCCCCATGTTCTGTAAATAATGACTTTGCATGGTTGTGTAACAGCTGAGCTCACTTGTAGCACTGCGCATGCACGTCGCTTGCACGTCGCTTGGCCATTGGGCTACTTTTGTTCTGTAAGAATATATAAGCTTCACCTGGAAAAGCCAGGCAGGGTTGTATGCGGTTATGTTCTGTCTGCTGCGACGGCTGTCTCATCCAGAATACTCCAGGAAAATAGGAAAGGTATTCAACTCAATCTACAGACAGAACAAACATATTCAGCTTTATCTTCTTGGCTTTGCAAAACCGCTGATGAATTTGAGTGAAGGTCAGATAGAATTTTTTTTAAAAAGAGCAGTATCATCCTCAGGGGGGAGCTATGAGGGATCTGGCAGCAGGAAGGCCAGTAAAGACACAATCAAGTATCTGGCAATACAACCAAGTACTAGTAACGGGCAGTGGGCTCGAAAGGGCAACCTGAAACATAGAGCCAGAGACCGTTTCTGAGGAATCACTGCAAATGAGAATTCAGATAGAGGGAAGACCATAACACAGAAGAAACATCTCAGACAGTTAAAGTTAGAATGTGTCCTCGGGATACAGATTCAAGTCCAGCTGGGCTGACATTACTTCTCTTCTGGCAAAAGGTAGGATTGGATATCTGCAGGGAGAGGAGAGAGGCTGCGTGGAAAGATGGAGAATCATTTTGAGTAAGCCTCCAAGAGCCTTCCCCAAAACCAGGCTTTTACCACGGACATTCTCAGTGCACGCCCAAATCCAGGCAGCAAGGAGAGTGGAGATTTCTAAAGTCACAGAGACCTCCATGTGAGCCGACCCCTGCACAGGACTCTCGGGGAACGGGAAGTGGTAACGGCTTACGTGGTTTTATATGGCGACCCAAGCTCAGATGCCTTCATTTTGCTACTTAGTTAGATCACCCATGGGGTGGGTGTCCATGGTGTCTACCACCTAAAGGCTGAGATGCTCCTGATTACACAAATGCCGATGCTCAAAGAGCCATCGGTGGAAAAGTGCTAATTGATAACTGTGCCTGCCTGAGGCCTGTTAAAATCGACAAGGAGGCTGGCAAGGCACACACTTCCGATAAAAGCTAATTACAGAAAACTTTTCCCTAGGTAATTATCAGGTGTCATTTAATAGGCTGGACAGTCTAAATTGTTCATTTGTGAAAACAAAAGACTGCTATTTCTTAATTTCGATGGGTTTGGCTGTGGAACAATCAGCAGCAAAGAAGATAAAGTGACTTAAATTCCTGGGAGGAGTTGTTCAGTCACGAAGTCACGTCCAACTTTTTGCGACCCCACGGAATGCAGCATGCCAGTGCCCCCTGTCCTTCAGTGTCTCCCAGAGTTTGCTCGAATTCATTTCCATTGAGTAAGTGATGCCACCCAACCATCTCACCCTCTGCTGCCCCCTTCTCCGTTTGCCTTCAATCTTTCCCAGCATCAAGGTCTTTTCCAGAGAGTCTTAGGAGGAGACAAAGATCTAAGGAAAAGCATCTTTCTTGGCCTCAGGAAAATTTGCAAATTCATCTCTGCTGATTCTTCCGTAGATTGTTTTAGTTACAGCATTCAAGTCAAGCCTTAAAATTATTTGCTTATATCACATGGCTAATCTAATAAGGCTAATATATATTTTTTCCTTTTATGTTTTACATACATAATTTTATATACAATATACATTCATTTTAATAATTGGAATCAAAGTTCCAGCTAAAGATTTTTCTTATGTTTTCTAAAAATATCAATTGTGACATTTTTAGTTTTAAAGTGAACTTGGAAATCAAGGCTCAGAGCAAATAAAATTCAAAGAATCTGAGTTGAAGGCACATGATTGTTTTCAGTGACATCTGAATTACATTTTTAATGCTACACGTGTGTGTGCATGCCAAGTCGCTTCAGTCGTGACCCTATGGACTGTAGCCCGCCAGGCTCCTCTGTCCATGGGATTCTCCAGGCAAGAATACCGGAGCCGGTTGCCGTGACCTCCTGCAGGGGATCCTTCTGACCCAGAGATCGAAACTGAGTCCCATGTCTCCTGCATTGGCAGGTGGGTACTTTACCTCTGGTGCCACCTGGGAAGCCCTTTTAATGTTACAATCTGCTCTCAAATAAGCGCTTGCACAGGGTTTGCCTACGTGACAAGAAAAGGACTTCTGTTTTCAGCAACGAGCTCTCTAGTGGATGATGAAACCCCAGAGTGGGGATTCATACAGTGCCCTGCATCTAGAAAGCCTGGAGATTCCCATCACTAACCACAAAAATGAAAGAGAACTGAAGAAAAAGATAAGTCCGTACAATTTTTTCTTTTTTAAAAAATTTTCTCCTGATGCTATTAACATCTCTACCATCTAAATTCATAAACTTTACATTTATCTTTTAAATTATTCCACTATAAGCATCTAGTTTTTTCAATTAAGAGCTTAATTGGAATCACAGTCTAATTTCTTCACTCTCAGTTTACGTAAATCTGGGAAGGTTAAACAAGTGAAGGCTCAAGTTCATACTCTGTGAAAAGGAGATAATAATATTACCCACCTTTTAAGTTTTTCTTGAATATAAAAGAGATAAATGTAACCAGTCTGGCCATAATTAATAGCATACAAAAAATACATAACATATGATTATTTTTCTCAAACTTAAGCACAGTGAATTCCAGGGTTTTATGTCTCCCCTACTGCAGGCAAATTCTTTACTGCCTGAGCCACCAGGGAAGCCCTGTGCAATGTTCCGAGGATTTCTCGAAGTCACAAAAATAAACAAAGTCCATTTTCCTGATATTCCAATTTTAATACCAAGTTTTGCTGTGAAGATAACAGAATTTCAACATAACTGAGTTTCAAGACAACTGAATATAATTTCAATATAAGGTAAAGTGGATAAAGCAGATAGTGCATGCAAGTCATTTTTAAAGCATTCTTAAAGCATATTTTAAGCATTTTTAAAGCATGTTTGTAAAATTTCTGTGGCACCGAGCTGTAAGTCATCACTGTTCTTCACCACCACATAGGTACTCAAGGTAGAAAGGGGAGAAGCCAGTTTCACTTAACAGTCAAAGCAGTAAAAATTATTGCTTTTACTAAGTGTTGACTGGCTCTTGAGTACATGTCTGTTCAATATTCTGCATGATAAAATGGGAAGTATGGGCAGTTTGAATCGCGGGGCAAGGAAGGAGCAGGCAGCAGGTTCTTGCAGTGTCTGGTCCTTTCTCTGCCTCGCTTGTTTGAGCCGCAGCAGAATTCGGGACATTCACGGGGGACCGTATTCATCGACACCTGAAATCTAGGATGATCAGCCGTGGACATGTGGGCGCGACGGCCGCCGTGCACAGCGCAGCCATCCTGGAGTCCCTGTCACAGAGGTCCTTGATCGGCAGGAAATGCATCGAAAAACTTGCAGGTGAAGCGTGTTACCCCCTCGTCACTTGCACTTGCTATTCGTGGAGATGAATTGGACTCTCTCATCAGGGCTACAGTTGCTGGTGGTGGTGTCGCTCCGCACATCCACAGATCTCTATTGGGAAGAAAGGACAGAAGACTGTCTAAAGGATGCCTGGATTCCTTGTTGTCGCAGAACTGTAAATACTCTAACAGTGGCCCAATGTTGGTGACTCCAGTGGACTGTATCTCTGTGAAAAGCACAATTTTGCCTTTTTGTAATTCTATTTGAACAAGTTGGAAGTTTAATTAGCTTTCCAACCAACCAAATTTCTGCATTGGAGTCTTAACCGTATTGAAGTGTTACTGTGGCTTCAAAGAAGCTATTGATTCTGAAGTGGTGGGTTTTGATTGAGTTGACTGTTTTTAAAAAACTGTTTGGATTTTAATTGTGATGCAGAAGTTATAGTAACAAACATTTGGTTTTGTACAGGCATTATTTCCACTCTGGTGGATAAGCTCAATAAAGGTCATATCCCAAACTGCTGCTGCTAATTTGCTTCAGTCGTGTCCGACTCTGTGCAACCCCATAGACGGCAGCCCACCAGGCTCCCCCATCCCTGGGATTCTCCAGGCAAAAACACTGGAGTGGGCTGCCATTTCCATCTCCAGTGCATGAAAGTGAAAAGTGAAAGTGAAATCACTCAGTCTAGTCTGACTCCTAGCAACACCATGGACTGCAGCCCACCAGGCTCCTCCGTCCATGGGATTTTCCAGACAAGAGTACTGGAGTGGGGTGCCATTGCCTTCTCCGATATCCCAAACTAGTTATGTATAAAATTTGCTTGATTATAGTAGGAACAGCTTTGTTTTGAATAGGTATCTTACCTAGCCATAACTTAAGCACATTTCTTCCCTTGAAATTACTCTTAATTCTATCTGTAGATCAACAAAGTTAAAAGGTCCAAGTATTTTTTTAAAATACTGTGTGATGAACTATTAAAAGATTTTAAAACTTCAAAAAAAATGGAAAATATGAATGAAGCATTTCTTCTATGTGTCAAAGCATGAAGATTAAGCAATTGTTTGACTTGTGAGTTGAACAAGACCCAAAGAAGGGACACAGAATGTGTTGATTCCTCCTTCAATGGGTGTGACAGTGTGTGAGATGTTATCCACCAAGGAAGGTCATCACAGACCCAGTGTTGAGGGTTTGTATTAGGAGCTGATCACCTAACCATCCTCTGACCAGCACATGCCAGAATTCCAGTTCCCAGAGGGAAAACAAGTAGTATTCAACATCTTGCACAAACAGTTTAGGCATGGTGAGCCCCCTTACCAGTGAGGGCAGTGGGAACTTTCCCAAAACTCATGTTCCCAGGTTAATGGCCAACTTAGCAAACAGGATTTTCTTAGGATAGCAGTCTCAAATCTGCTATCTTTAAATCTATTCTGTATGTCTCTGAATTTTCAAAATGAAGAGTCCTGTATTTTTCTGTCATCTAGAGTTAATTAGTATCTGTATTAGACAGAATTCTAAAGATGTTTCCTGTAGTTTGTCCAAACAGTACCTAATCTCGGTACTACTGTGAAAGGTTTTTACAGATATAGTTAGGCTAAAGCAGGTTATCAGTGGGTTTCCCTAGTAGGTCAGTTGGTAAAGCATCCACCTAGACAGGCTACAGTCCATGGAGTCACAGTCAGACATGATTGAGCAACTCACACACACACACACACACACACACACACACACACACACACGCGGGTTATCAGTATTCTTGCCTGGAGAATTTCATGAAGAGAAGCAGCCTGGCAAGTGCAGCCCATGGAGTCTCAAAGAGACATAACGGAGTGACTAACAGCTTAACTTTTCTTATCTTGGGTTGGGCCTTTCCAGGTAGAGCAGTTGGTAAAGAATCTACCAGCCAGTGCGGGAGATGTCACAAATGAGGGCTGGATCCCTGGGTGGGGAAGGTCCCCTGGAGTAGGAAATGGCAACCCACTCCAACGTTCTTGCCTGGGAAATTCCATGAGCAGAGAAGCCTGGTGAACATGGAGTCACACAGTCGGACATGACTGAGAAGCTCGCATCATCTTGGGTTATCTGAGTGACCTAGTGTAGTTACTTAAACCCTTAAAAGCTGAGTCCTTTCTCTGGCTGGAAACAAAAGAGAAGAGTGCCTCAGAAGGGGATGTAGGTAAGATCTGAAACCTGCAAGGGACGGGACCACTGCTGTCTTTGACAGGGTCCACTTGGAGAGGAATGTGGGTGGCCTCTGAAGGCTGAGAATTACCTCCAGCTGACAGCCAGCAAAGGAAACAGACTTCAGTCCTACAATTATGCGAATTAAATTCTGCCGAGAACCCGTAGCCTGCAAGCATAGCCTCCCACAAGAGCTTCCAGAAGAAACACAGCCTACTTGATCTC